AGCCATCTACTAAAAACTTTGATGTAACGGATAAAGTGATATGTTACTAAACTTATGGAACACTGTTTGTGGACGCTTGTTTTGAGTCCATCACTGAGTGTAGTGAATCATTTCCTTGAAGTAATAATCATCATATTTATCATTTTGCACAGCAGACACAGTAGTTATTCTGCCTTAGTGTCTCGGTCTGATTGCATTTCCATGGAGAAATGATCGTAAACGTTCTTCCTTGAGCTGTGAAACTCTGCTGCACTTAGTGATCGACTTGTCAGGGCTCCCCCAAAAACAAGCGGCTGCTGGAGGAGAGTGGGTGAGTTGTGTTTAGTCTCTTTGCAAAAGAAACAAGGCAAGGCACAAGATGTTTGGTGACTAGTACTGTTCTGAGCATTATTTGTGTCTATAGAGTGGCCTGTTGGTTAAGGTTTGTGCGTGGCTCCATAGACCACTGTGTATTGCTATTGTGCAGTTGTTGCTGAAGTTGGTTTAACTAGAGAAGCAAGCAGTCGGCAACATTCATCTCTCGAGGGAGGGGGGTGTCTAACTCTGTGTCACGGTGTGTTTGACTCTAACTTTAATTTATGCTGGAATATCCCTTTAAGTTGAAGGTCAGTAAGTGAGTGAACGTGAATTAGAATCTGGACATGATGAGCAAGACGAGCCATCCACTCATTATTCATAACACTGTACATAATCCCACTAATAACCTTGCTCACAGATATGGATGCACCGTTGAATATAAATGTGTGTGTTAGTTGGTGGTGGCTAGCAACTTTTTCACAGAATACCAGAGGGGGGAAGAGTTGAAGATATTATGATCCTGATCTCAAGTATCAGTTAAGTGCAGATCTTTGCATCATTTTACTTAAGGATCCGCATTTTGCACTGATTTTTGCACCTTGACTGTTCTCCACAGTTGAGGTAAATTGAGCATCAAGGCTGTATAAAAAATATGGAACATATCCAGCTGCATTAGAGTTTTAAAATATCCTTATGAATACATTGTTTAGGTCACCAACAAGAAAACTGTTCATTTAAAAATAAAAGACTTTTAAAACACACTTTTTTATGAGGGTTTAAATAAAAAATGTACACATATGCAAGTGTTGGTAAAACTAGCATCAGTTCAAAGCAGTCATATGTTACAAATACATAGCCTGCACTTCACTCTCCAGCCTACGTTGTTCACACTTCAGCATGGACAGATTGAAAAGTCCCAGACTTATGTGTGGGTAAGAGCACCACATGAACAATCCCACGGTGTGTCATTTTCAAACTGGAGAAATTTTGAACACCATCTGCAGTTTCTCTCAAAATAAGTCCTAAATGATGAATTCAGACGTGGCTTGGACTCGGTGGCACAGACACCACGCTGGGAAAAGTGTCAGCTACTTCAGTGTCTGAGTGACATTCTGGCACTCACTCACAGCAACGACTCTGCTGGAAGTTTGTTTTTTTGAAGTTTTTTTTTTTACTACATGAGAACAACTTGCACATTGACTCTGTAAACCACTAACCTCACCTAACCCTTTTTCTGAACGATTAGTTCAGAAATTATGCTTATTTTACTGCTATCATAGAGACATTATTACTGCAGAGAAAATCCAAGGTAAATATAGAGTATGCTTCAGATTTAAACAGACCACATAACCACAGTGATGCAAATTTGCAACAAATACCCTTACTGACAAAATTATCATCCCACCTGTGGCATCTATAAACTTCTGGATTTAAACTCCTGTTAGCCTCTTACGTTTTGCTGGCTGTTTATGGTTTGTAACATGTCAAGTGAGAGACGATCAAATGGTATCAAGCTGAAGGGGGATTCGCCACCTTCCATAGCAGAGGGGGACCCTTCTGTCGACAATGAGGTTTTTGCCCGGTGCAAGTAAACTGGAGAAAGGGCAGTAGTTAAGTTAGGTTACACAATCAAGCCATGGCCATAGCTCGACTCATCTGTGCACATAATTGTACTGACTGAAACTTCTTGTGATAAGCAGCACTGCTGGAAGGATCAAATAATATAATAATATAATCAATAATACTGTGTTGTTTTGAATATTTTCCCCTACTGCGTGGAGTCCTGTTTACCTCCTGTGTTTATTCTTCCTCTTGATTGCTGTCATCAGTTCCCCTTCTGTCCCACCTGTTGCTCCTTTCCACATGTGTACCTACAGTCACTGTGTTCCCCTACCTTTGAGTCGGTTCATTTCATCTTTGGTTTGTCTGGGTTTCCTTGTGTGTTTTTTTGTTTTTGTTTAATTCATTATTATTATTATTATTATTATTATTATTATTATTATTATTATTATTATTATTATTATTATTATTATTTGACATACTAAACACTTATTTGCCTTCTTGTTAATCAAATTCATTTTTAAATATAATGTGGGTCTTTTGCTTTTGTTAAATACATGACAGGTTTTTGTAGAGTCAATGGTGCAGTCACCTTCTGTGTCCTCAAGACAGCAACACCTGTGCACCTGGCCACCCTTCATTCAAAGACAAAGATGCACACTGGCTACTAGAGGGTTTAGTGAACCCTCCCAAACTCCACCTTTGCTCTGAATATCCTTTTTTCTTTTTTTTTTTTTTTTCCTGTACAATGACAGATGAAGCCTTAATGGATTGAACTTATTTGTCCAGCACATATCAAGACTCTCAATTGAATTAGAAAGGAATTGAAGAAATTTAGAGACACCATCCACACCTTCAACTTGTGGTGTTGAAGTTGGTCCAGTTCTAATGCATAACTATTGTAGGAATTTTCCAGCTGTGATCAGAGGTCAAGTTTGCTGTCGCCTACATATAACATTGTGTTCTGACAGCTATCAAAGGGACTGGAAATTACTTAGAAGTTATTTTAATCGGTATAAATGTTACAAGTGAGGATTTTTTTTTTTTTTTTTACCCCACAGCTCAGCCTGAAACCCATCAGCTAGGTCTGCTGATGTAGAGGACTGGAGGGCTGTTTCACTCCCAGACTGCTGGGCTGCTGCCACAGTTCAATGACAACTGACCCTCAGGAAAATGAAGTTGGGTGTTTTAATCACAGCGTTTGGATGACACCTCCAATGATTACCCGTTACTTCTGCCAATCTCAGAGAGATTGAGTGTGCTCTGGAGAAGCTGGAGGTGTGTCATTGCAGTATTTGCATTTCAAGTGACTGAGGCCTTTTCAGTGCCAAGGAGTGGGGAGGGAACCGTTTCCTTCCAGGATCCAGTTTTGAGGATTGTATATCCCTTCACTGAAAGTGGGTTAAAAGCCAAGTATTACTTCCAGGATGATGAATTATGTAATGTGTTGATGCAAGTGTTTTCAAAACTCAGGCCTTGTTCATTTGAAAAATGTTTCATGAAAGATTTTCTGCAGCACATTTCTGCCATGTACATTTGTTGTTGCCTTTTGTGGGTAGTTGGGAGAACGAACATGAACTACAGTTGTGGCTCTCACTTACCATGGAGTACCTGTGGGTGTTTTCTTGATTTACAAAGCAGTAATGGTTCTGTTGAAACAACACTGAGGCCAAACATAGATGACTGGTATTGCAAAAAAAAAAAAAAAAAAAAAATATATATATATATATATATATATATATATATATATATATATATATATATATATATATGTGTGTGTGTGTGTGTATATGTGTGTGTGTATATATATATTGTTTTTGGGTTTTTTTGCAATACCAGTCATCTATGTTTGGCCTCAGTGTATATATATATACTGTATATATATATATATATATATATATATATATGTCCTGAAATACTGCAACCCCATTAAACAACTAGTGGTCAAATTGCAATGACATCTCAGATGGATACCCCCGAAAGGGGCCCCATTTCATCCCTGTCGCACTGTTATGTGACCTACGTCCATCTTACTGAAGTGTGTCAATCAAAGTAACATAAAACTCAGCCGTGAAGTGGGGCTACTTATCAGGGAGTGAAAAAAGAATGAGAAGTAAAGAGAACGAAATAAGGAGAAAGCAAGACAGCAGTAAGTTGAGCAGATAGTGACGTGTGGCAAACACTCTAACTACCATTCGGTATAAGGCTGGCCACTAATTGTTTGGCATTTAGTTAGCTGTGTTAGCGGAGCGGGAGATGTTAGCCTAGGGTTCCCGCTTCGTTTAACCGCCATTACCATGTGTTCACAAACCCACACTGTCTTGTGAGGTTAGCCGACAGAGAGGAAGTACACTTGTAAGCTACAATACTGAAATTTTACCAAATTAACTAGAACACCCGTCAGGGAGTGATTTGGACGGAAAAAAACAGCTGACCCAGGCAACGGCTTTCATTTATCATGGAACGCTATCAATGAAAGTTGTGTCTTAACTAGCCTAACTCTTACACTATAGATGCCTTGAAATTAAGATCTAAATTTAGACAGTGTGCTTTCTGCATGAAAGGCTTTGGAACGTATAACATACTGAATAAAGTCTCAGACACCAAGTCTTAGAACAAAGGTGAGATGCTGGCTATTGTAGTTAAAAACACCAGAGCTGTAGCTATTTTAGAGCACATTTTTTAAAGTTATGTAGTAATAATGAAAGTTGTTTTTAAAAATTTCAGTTTCTGACCTCTTGTTAGTTTCAGATAATTTATATGTTTAACGCTTGTCAGAGGGGCCCCTTTTTGCTTGGTGCTAAGGCTGCACGATATTGGAAAAAACATTGCGATTTTTTTCAACCCTGTGATATATATTGCGGTATTAAAAAATACAGGAACGTGATCCGGACCAAGATGGACGCTTGAGACTTTTCTCCGCTCCAGGCTTTAAATAAATACGTAACTTTCTCCATGTAATCTTAATATCAACGGTCGAATTATACCTCAAAGATGCCCAGACGGCAACGCGATAAGGATTTTCCCATTTTTTCACCGTCGGGTCCCGCCACTAAGAAGAAAACTGCTCAACAAGCGGCCCCATGCGTCCCGAGTGTGGCTAGCCAAGGCGATGCTAACTTTTCGGAGTCGACGCTAACTAATCAAACAACCATGGAGCAGATCTTAACTGAAATAAAGTCTGTGGCCTCCCGGGTGAACGACATGGATGAATCGGTCGGCGCTCGCCTTGACATCATTGACGGTGCGCTGAACGAAATAAAAACATCAGTCGCTTCGGTGGAGAGCTCTTTGACGGCGCTGTCTAACCGAGTGACGGACTTGGAAAAGCGCGTGGAGGAGGTCGAGGAGAGGGTCTCCGCCACGGAGGACAGCAACAGTGCCCATGACACCTGCATAGCCGCCATGGAAAAAACAGTGAAGCAGCTGCAGCTGAAAATTGACGACCTAGAAAACCGTGGTCGCCGTAAAAACTTGAAAATTATCAACCTTCCAGAGAAAACGGAGGGCAGCATCCCTCTTGCGGACTTTCTCCAGACAACATTACCGACTTTAGTCGGCCTGCCCGCTGATTATCCCCCGCTGGAGATTGAACGCGCCCATCGAGCCCTGGCTCCCGCTTCGGCTCCAGACAAGCCCCCGAGAAGCGTCCTGGTCCGTTTTCTACGTTATTCACAAAGAGAGGCTGTGCTCAGAGCGGCGCTAAAGAAACGCGACATCTCCCATGGCGGCTCCCAGCTACGGTTCTACCCCGACCTGTCAGCGGAGGTCCTGCGAAGGCGGCGAGAGTTTGATACGGTGGGGAGAGTGCTGGCTCGTCATAATAAATACCGCGGATTTGCCTACCCAGCCCGCCTCCGGTGTCTCCACGAAGGCCAAATTCGTCTTTTTGACACCCCTGAGTCTGCGGCCGCATTTTTGGATACCCTTAAATGAGGTAATCTCGTCTTCATCTCTATCGTTACCAGTTATAATGGAGAAGGACAGGCTTTATGCACACTGAGCCCCCACTGAACATTGTATATTTTGTTTTTGTGACCACCACATGGACTTTGATAGAACAGTTTTACAGCAACGGAGCTGACTGATCGACTTGTAACCCTCTCCCTTGGGAACAAGGTGCTTTTAGTTTCCTTCTGTCTCTTTTTATTTTGTATTTTATTCAGCATGATTTCATACTCTACTGTATTTAAAGAACATTTCGCACTAATGTCGTGGTCCAAACATAACCTCGAAGCCCTTAACCCCGGGGTGTTTCTCAGTGATGTTTGTTATATAGCCTGGAGTTTGATTACTGTTTCAGGTGTCCTAGTTGTTACTGTGATCTACCTGCTAAACTAGGATTTGGATTATGTTTAGTACACCCAGTGACTTCTTTTGGGGTAGTTTTTTCCTGTCGTTTGGGGATAGGATAGGGGTGGGTAAGCGCTGCTATTTCCATGTTTTGTGTTTCACTTTACTTTTGTTGGATGACCGGAGCCTCCTCATACTTAGCATCTGTTATTTAATCATTTTCCAGCTTTGTGGCTCTCATGTCTAGTTCACTTAAAATTACTACTTGGAATGTTCAGGGACTAGGCCATGTAATTAAAAGGAAGAAGATTTTAACATATTTGAAAAAACAAAAATCTGATATAGCATTACTTCAGGAAACTAAGCTATCTGATATAGAACACTTGAAACTTAAGAGGGATTGGGTGGGCAAAGTTTACTTTTCTTCCCATTCACAGAATAAAAGGGGTACAGCCATTCTCATAAATAAGAACCTTCCTTTCATCTTGGAACATGAAGAAAAGGACCCAGAAGGGAGATTTGTTTTGATTAAAGGTTTGGTACTTGAACAACATATAACCATTCTCAATATTTATGCCCCAAATATTGATTCACCCCAGTTTATGTCACAAATGATTTTGATGTTTAACCAGCACTGTAATGGTTTGGGCTTCTTAGCTGGCGACTTTAATTGTATAATGAATGCTTCTCTGGATAAATCCTCCCCTGCAAACGTGTCTAACCCAAGATCGTCTGCCATCCTTAAGAATTTATGCATAGATACTGGACTGATAGATGTGTGGCGACATTTAAATCCTAAAATGAGAGACTACACGTTTTATTCGCATCCCCACAACTCGTATTCTAGACTAGATTATTTTTTTATTCCCGAAAACTTTTTACACTCTGTCCAAACCTGCTGTATAGACCCTATTGTCTTATCAGACCACGCTTCGGTACATCTATGCATTAACCCATCATTTAATATTCCTAGAACTCCCACTTGGAGATTCAATACATCATTTTTAAACAGTGATGCTTTCTGTGTTTCTGTCCGGAACAACCTATCACAATTCTGGCTCGACAATAAAAGCTCTCCCGTGTCCTCTGCTATGATTTGGGATGCAGCTAAAGCCACCTTACGTGGTCACCTTATATCCTACAACTCTCATCAGAAAAAGGTTTTAGAGGAAAACAGAAAGAACCTTGAAAAAGAAATGGCTAGGCTGGAGAAAATACATAAACAGTTACCTACTCCAGCCAACTTAAAGGCGCTAGTGGCTGTTAAGACTGCACTTAATTTGGATCATACTCGTCACGTTCAGAAATTGTTACTTTACACTAAACAAAAATATTATGAGTTTGGTAATAAGTCCAGTCGCCTGCTTGCCTACCAACTGAAAAATCAAAATAATGATCGCTCAATCAATATGATAAGAACACAGAATGGGGATATTACATATGATCCAACGATTGTCAATAGCACTTTCCGAGATTTTTATAAGTCCCTGTATAGCACAGATAAACCTGATGAGGCTGATATCGCTTCATATTTGAACAATATTCCCTTACCCACCATTGCGGAGGAGGATCGCTCTAGCTTAGATGCTGCATTTACACCAGAGGAGGTCTGGGCTGCAATCCAGTCTATGCCTAATGGGAAGTGTCCAGGCCCTGATGGGTTTCCACTGGAATTTTTAAGAAATTCTGGCCAGAAATCCACCCAATTTTTATGCCCGCCATTAATGGTATCTTAGGAGATGGCATCCCCCCCACCTGGAGATACGCTTCCATTAGTCTACTTCTAAAAAAAGATAAAAACCCTTTAGATTACTCATCTTATAGGCCTATTAGTCTCCTCAACGTGGACTACAAAATTATTGCAAAAGTATTGGCTCGGAGATTGGAAAACATTCTTCCGAAAATAATAAACTCAGATCAGGCGGGGTTTGTAAAATCAAGATATGGCACAGATAATGTACGTCGTGTTCTTAATGTTGTTCAGTATCTTAATACACATAAAAATCCAGCACTTATAGTTTCTCTTGATGCCGAAAAGGCCTTTGACCGGGTAGAATGGTCTTTTCTGTTTTCGGTGTTAACAAAATTCGGCATGGGCTCTAATTTTATTAATATGATTAAAACCTTCTATTCGGACCCAATAGCCACAGTTAATACAAACGGCTTGATGTCTGATGGCTTTTCAGTGCGCAGGGGCTGCAGACAGGGGTGCCCCCTGTCACCTTTATTGTTTATATTGTTTATTGAACCTCTGGCCGAGGTCATCAGAACTAATCCTGATATATTTGGTATTAAGGTGGGTGGGGAGAACCATGTTATTTCCTTATTTGCAGATGATGTTCTTTTATACATGTACAAACCTGAGAAATCGATTCCGGCAGTTCTGAAATCAATAACCACATTTAGTGCCCTGTCGGGTTATAAGATTAATCTGGGGAAGTCGGTCGCTACACTCTTTAATATCCCCCAAGATATGTCTATACAATCTCCTTTTCGAGTGTCCAAGATGGGTTTTAAATACCTAGGTATCTTTGTCACCCCTGATTTAAACAATCTGTTTGAAACTAATTACTCTCCTCTAATTCAAAGGGCTAAGAATGATTTGACAAAATGGTCCTCGCTACCAACTTCTCTCCTTGGGAGAATCAACACTATAAAAATGAATATTCTTCCTCGATTTAACTATTTATTCCAAAATCTCCCGTGTTATCTGACGTCGGCATTTTTTAAATCTCTCAATTCTCAAATATCTCGTTATATTTGGAATAACAAACACCAAAGAGTTAAGTTCTCCATACTTATTAAGCCAAAGGATCTCGGAGGCTTGTCCCTGCCCTCTCTACAACTATACTATTGGTCAGCACAACTCAAGATGATGTCAGATTGGTTTTTGAATAGGAAAGATTCCTTATGGTTGGGTCTTGAATCCCAGTCTTGTTATCCCAGAAAACTTATTTCCCTTCCTTTTATTAATAATATAGATCAGTTAATTCATCTCAAGAATAATATAATTGTTTATAATACACTACTAGCTTGGAGAGATGTGAGGAAACACCTAAATATTCCTCCTGTCATCTCTTCCCGATCTCCCTTAGCTCTGAATCCAGATTTACCAGCACAGATGAGGAGTATTGGTTTGATGGAATGGGCATCTAAGGGCTTACTTAACATCATGGACCTGCTGGATTCCGGCTCTGTTAAATCATTTGGGCAAATCAGGGCTGATTTTAATATTACTCATCAAGATTTTTACAAATATCTTCAAATTCGCCATTTTATAGGGTCCCTTCTCAGGACAGGCAAGATTCGTTTGGGTTTGTCTGAGTTGGAAAACATAATAATTCTGGCTAAGTCCCCCAAAAAATTGATTTCAAAGATCTATGTTTCACTACTTTATTTTGACTCTTCAAGCTATGACTCTTTGAAGCTGCTATGGGAACGTGACCTGGAGGTGATGTTTAATTCTGTTGACTGGAACAAGATCTGTAGTGGGGTTTTCCCTAAATGTACCTCGATCTCTATACATGAACAGAACTTTAAATTTTTCTTTAGAACCTATTACACACCCGTTCGCCTCCAGAAAATGTTCCCTGGCACTTCTAATCTTTGTTATAAATGTAAAATACATAAAGGGACATTTATTCACTTGTTTTGGTCATGTGACCATATCCAGACTTTTTGGAAGGGGGTACACTCTGTAATCCAGGAGGTCACTGGTAAAAAATTTCTGCTGACCTCTTCTTTCTGTCTCCTTAGTCATTATACCCCAGACAATCTTTTTGACGCAGATACCAAATCTTTGTTGATAATCCTTTTATTTTTGGCTAAAAAATGTATTTTGCTGAGATGGTCAACTTCCCGGGTCCCTACTGTCGACATGTGGATAACACAGATCTCTGCACTTATTCCTCTCGAGAAGTTGACTCACGACCTTAACCATAAATCGGACAAGTTTTGGAGGATCTGGGAACCATTTAATTCCTTTTTACAGAAATTATAACTCATCATATGTCCCTGGAAGAGGAAGGCTGACTATTTTTTATTTGCCTGTCTCCTGTCATCTTGCTGACTTTGTATGTGTATATATTTGTGTATGCATGGATGGATTTATAGC